AGTGCAGAATCTATCTGGGCACTTAAGGTGCTCGTAATGTATTCATGTCTTTATTCACAGCAGCATCCCAATGTTTTGAAAATTTTTAGTATAGATGCGAATCTATACGAGTGTCGTGTTTTGAGCCTATTTTTCTTTCCACCAAAGAGCAACCTTGATAAAATAAACTCGGGAGAACAATAGCAGAAAAGATTTGCAAGATTGTATTCTGTTAAAATATATCTCATGAATTTCTTTTTAAGTTATTCTTTTACTGATGGCAATAGCCAACGGAAAACGAATGCGATAATCATGAAGGGATTTTCAGCTGCACAAATGGTTCCTACCATTGTTTGCAGAGATAGTGATTGACATCATCAACAAACCAGGCTAGTTCTCTGAACCCGTGCAAAACTAAGCTTAATCTTGCAAAGCAAATACATAATTGCTCTTATGCCAAGAATCAACATAAAGTTCAAATACTTATTGGCTATTTAGGCAATCTGTTGTGTCAAGTCGGTAGAAACATAAATGGAAAATATAAATAACAGCAGATGAGACGATACATTTTTTATGCAAGATGCAAATGATAGCTTGTAATTTCCTACTTCTTGTTTCCGTTTAGATTTTTTGACAACAACAACCTTGATAATGCTGATCGTAATAAACAGCGTTATATGATCTTAATCAACATATGAATTATAGCCCAGAAGATTGAACCCAGTCGTGGTAATTTTAGTCGGCAGTGACACAAACGGATTCGTCAGGTAACTGATCGAAATTCCAACCTTCTCTGATAACTGATAACCTCAGTTGCATTTTCGTATTCAACCCTTTGATCATATACATTAAGTTAAAAATGCAGACCTTCTGTCGCGCAGAGTGGTCTTAGCCTAACTTCAATAAATTAAATCCGTATGAAAAATTAGTGGGAATTACACGTTTTGTAATTTTTATTAACTGTATGTTTGACACCAGATCTGCATGTGTGTGTTTTTCTCTATTTTTTCAAGCTAAAAATGGCTCTTGAGGTTAGAGGTGAACTTAAGCTTCTGTTGCCACAGGGTTTAGTTGCACAAGGCTTTCGAAGTTGTTTAGACATAAGTAATTTATTTTTCTGCAGAGGCCGCAAGGAAAAATTTTGACGTTTCTTCGTTTTAAGAACGAACAAAACTATGCACCATGCCCTCTTAAATAATATACAGGGACAAACCTTTAATTTAATTGTTCCTTCAATTTTACAATAGCCTGAAGGTATTTTAAGTTCTGATATCGGGTACACAGATGAACAGCTCAAAAATACAACTTTCAAATAATGGGTAAAACTTACGCATTCTGAGTAATACAAAAACAAGGAATCCGCGAAGAGAGAAAAAATGAAAGCCATACCTCGTGGTTTTTAAGAACGAAAACCTGTCCATTATATTTGTTTGTTACATTACCGAGAACTTGATAAAAATAATATCGGCTCAGTTAAAAAATGATTCACTTTCAACTTCCTTTGTTATTTGCGCCTAGAGCGAATAGACAGAAGGCGCAGAAAGTAAATTATCTTTTACCTAAACGTTATGAAGGCGGTGCTATCACATTTCCTCTTCTTCCAATCAATCACTGAAGTGAAGTCTACTGAAGCCATTGTGTCAGCTCGCTATTGGTGAGACCTCAAACTTAATGTCCTACGCACGGGCTCCATTATACACACAGAAAGCTATTCATCTTTTGAGAAAAGTAAACATATGACTATATTAAGTGAAAATGTGAGGAAACTATAATTTAATCTTTTTCTTTAAAACACGTCACTAGCGACAAGGTGTTTTCGAAGCCAAAGTATTTAGAGAAATACTTTTTTTTTTTCTACTCTAGGATGTTTACTAAAATGCAGGAAGTGATTGTGATACATAGGTTTCCCGCAACTGCAGAAAAACCAAGAAAAATGAATTAAAATTAGTCACTTTTATTTGCGGATAATCATTCAAAACTATTGACGTGTGGCAGATCTCTTTCATAATCAAAACGTTTTTGAAGACTTAACAAAATCAATAAAAAGTTTTTATTTTGAAAAAGAGACTCAATAAAATTTAATAACTGGAAACGGTTGAAGGCTTCCCTCTGTTTACATTTCGAAATGAAAGTACTTAAACCTTCTCAATATTAAGTTATTTTTAACTGAGTTCTCCATGTTATGTAAAACATCAGTCATAAAAGTCGCAAGAATATGGAATGCAGACATAGAAACGATGGCATTTGAGATTATTTCGCCGAAAAACATCATGTTTTCTTTTTGGCCTTGAAGACGACGATTTTATCGCGTCTCAAAAAAAAAAATAGCTTAATGATGACCCGGAGGTTCGGCGGTAAATCCCCAATGGTAATTTCTGAAGCAAGGTAAATTAAAATGTAAGAGAGATGCCGGAAACGAACGAAAATCAACATCTTTAGGCAAAAAATAAACGGAGCCAAGTGACATCAATCGATCTGAAGATTGATCAAAGTGCAGCGGAAGACTTCAGGCCCAGAGCCAAATTTCAATAGCGTGCTAAGGGGCCATACCTCCACAATGATACAATGTTGAAATTGTCCAAGCTACCCTGAGGAATATGACATTCTAACTTTGTTCTGTGAACACGAAGAGAATATTCCATCATGTTTAATCAGCGCTGTTGGCTGGTCGGCATTGTTCGATTTAAGTGAAAGGCCTTCGAAGTACTGAAAGCCATTGTCACTTTGGGGTGTATATCAAAGAACGTCGTCTCGAGTTCTTTTTTTTTTTTACTTCTCCGTTTTGAAAGCCCGTTTACACTTTTGTCCTACTGTTGCTTTTGTCTAAAGCAAAGGTTTATTATTCTGAAGGACAAAGTGAATAATCAAAGCTGAACGCATTAACCACGCTGTGCTGGATCACAACACAAAAAAGAAACACCAGAGTGCATGATCACCTCGAACCTGAGGCAGGTTAGTGAACGCACGAAAAGTAACCTAATATTATAAAGCTATGTGGGTGAGAAGGTTGTGCGTGTTTACCATATGGCGCTTACAGCATACTTAGACGAGAAGGAATTGATTGTTTTCAACATATTATGGCGGCGACTGGTTCGTTCAAGGTCGACACCATTCAAAACCGGTAAAATTTGGAGTGATACTAAATAACCGAAGTAAACTGAAGATAATGAATGCAGTTGATCTCATGCGTCTTGACTATTTTGTTTATGCGGAGGAATAAAAAAACTTGTATTTTCAAAACAGAAAGATGACGCGTTGAAGTGCCAATCTTTTCAATTTTATTTTTTTGTCTTCTACGTTGCTTATAGTGAAACGATCTTTACAGAATCTTTTTAAACTAAAAACGGCTGAAAATACGGGTATGTTCGAAGATACGAACGGTATAACGAGAGAGCCACGACATTATTTTAAGCCACAATGAAAAATGAATCGATCTGACGCCGGAAAAAAAAAAACAAAAAACGCGTGAAGCTGTTTACTGTATTAATATCGACTTTATAATTCATTAGCGCAAAGCTGTAATTTAAAGATTATCCTTAGCTGGCTTTAAGTAATCCTCGTCAGAGAGACTCACATTACGACTACAAAGACTTTGAAGGCTGCCGAAATGTATTTTTCCCAAGCAAGAATGGCGAGTTTGATTAAATTTCATTTCCTCGAGAATGGAGCCGAGGCCTTTTCCAACAATTAATCTTTAACAAATGATCAATCGATCGTTTATTGACATTCATTGAATCAGCTTTCACCGCCGGCTATCTTCTTCTGAAACGTATTTCACTGCTTCCACACAATCCGACAAAATTATGTCTGAGAGGAATTAAATGGCTGAGCTATATAACATGTTTAATTTTTAAAGTGATATCAATCTCCAAGGTTTGCCGGGATTGTTGTTTACGCTGAAAAATACATTGCAGTACAATAACTAGATAATGAAGAAAATTTTTTCTCCCTAAACCTTGTTATCTCAGAGAAGCTTACTGAAATAATAATTATCGAAGCAAGATGCTTATAGGTACAGAAAACGACTAAACAGTCGCAAAAACTGATCAACCGATTTTTTTTACCAATATGGTCTTGATCTTATTTTAAGTACAATGAATGAAGTCATATACACTTTTTTTTATAAGAATATTGTGTCTGCGGCCAAGGCTGAATATTCTTATTTTTCTGTCGATTTTAGGCTGAAATATTCTTATGAATATTCTAAAACTATAGTGGTTGACATTTTTTTTTTCGAACGTATTTGCATGGTGTGTTGATGTTTATTCTTTTCAAAATCTCAGCCTCGAGTTTACTCTAAGAATATATATATATTTTTTAAATTTCGCAAATTTCAGCCTCGATATTCTTATGAAATATATTCTTATAAAAAAGAAAGAGTGTATTGCATAACCTGCAAATGACCTACGAAGTGCACTTAGTTATTCATAAACGAATCCTTGTCTATCACAGGACTCAAAACATTTAATATATTTATATGGTCCACTTTGGTAAGATCGGAGGAAAACTGCTTTAGATGTTGCGAAGAGAATATCGTAGTGGCATTGTATGGTTATTAATTAGCTTTACATACACGCATAAGGCAAGCCATTTTCTAAGATGTATGGTGTTTAATGAAATCTTGGAATTTTGTGTTAATTAACCATTTGTCCCAACTATGTTAATGTAGGTAACATCCACTTTTTATTTTGGTATGTGGAACACAGAGATGTGTGCCTTTCCTGCGCATTATACCATGATGTTGATTTTTTACTTCTTGTAAATCATCTAACAAGATGGCGTGACGTATAACCATGACATTACTTCGTTTATTTTTAATCATATTTCTTTAAAAGTTGTAAAATTACTCCATAATAATCAAACATTATGATTATTCGCTTTTAAGGTAACATAATCTGGCAAATTGACATACCGAAAACTATTATTTATAAATTTTTGTTCTATCTTTTAATAGATGTATTGACGTTTTGACGTAAAGGCAAAGATTATCTGTGTAAGAGAGATTACTTAAGCTCATGGAATTGATCAGATTTCGGTAAAGCTAGGGAACTGACGTCACCAATTCGTGAAAAGAAAGTGATATAATATAATGGGATTTTTCATTTATAATTTTCTAGAACAAATATCATTAGTAATAACCGCGGTATGACGGTATATTCCTTTACGACTCAAAAAGACCGTTTCAATGTTTTAAGGCCATCTTGACCAGGGATTGAATAACGTGTAACTGCATAATATTCTGACGTTCCACAGCCCTTCAGGAAATGGTTGAATTTCTGTATGTTGAACTATTAAATTCATCTATTACTTATTAAAAGAATTGTCATATACTTGTGATAAAATCGTTCAGGACAAGTCTGTCACGGTGTTTCGTCCCGCCCAAAAGACCCTTCAGAGACCGTTCAGACTTTTGTTATTTTTCTGCAGTCACAGAGTCGAACACTACCACTAAATCCATGTAAACCGACAATTGTATTTTATTTTTCACTTATCGTGTTATTTCAAGATGACTTGAAATAACATGACTTTTCGCATATGGAGTCAAATGTAGCGTGAATATCCATACCTCTGGTCCATGCCTATTTGTGAAGACAATACTCGCACATATGAGTAAACGGTATGTATTATATTTTATTCTGGCAAATATCAGGACATTACCACGCGAAATCATTTTCCACCCATACTTTACAACTTTAAATAGTAAGACAAGTGTGACAATGAGGTCACTGAATTTCGTATACGAATATTCTTTGTTGACCGTTTCAAATCAACTTATATGACGTATTTCTTTTGCTGCCTGCGTCATTTTCTTCGCTATTTTTATTTGTTTGTTTGCTTTTTTTCAGTTAAGTCTTCATTTTATCACAGCAATATTATTTTATTTCCATCAGATAGCGTGGTTGAATTGAATCCCACCTTAAGGCAAATATATTATCCCAGTCACAATAATCAACTGTTTGGTCTCTCCCCTCTTAGATACTTCCTTCTCGGAGTATTAACTGAACCTCGATATTAAAACAGCAACAATTATTTCTACAATGTTTTTGTTACCTATATACATGACTAGATTTACGAAAACGTGGTTAATTAAGAAAAGTGCGTTCTTTTGCACTAAGTGAACTACCTAGCTACTTGAATATTAACAGCTCTTAAAGGCCCAGATATTACCCCCAACCCCTCTCCCAGGAAAGAGAGAGAGAGAGGAGAGCGCAAATTGCAAAGTACAAGAGTGGAGGCCAGTGAAAAGAAAAGACGGACATTCCTTTGATTTCTTATATCGTCTACTTTGATCTCTGTTAAATTAAACGCTTACACTAGAGTGAAATGTCTTTACCAAAGTTTTCACAATTCTAGTCATGAAACTAATGACTTTTTGTTCCCTTTTTTATTTTGCAGGAAACTGACAGTAAAAAGCACCAGTGGACAAATAAGTCTCCGGTAAAGAAATAATATAGTCTTGAAACATTGCACTGAAAAAAACAAAAAAAATCACGTTCTAGGGTGAATGTATATTGCTGAAGTTTCTTCCCGCCTAACATGTTAAACTGGTCAGTGGAGGGAAACCTTTCCCAAAACACCACCGATCTGGAAGGTGATGGAATTCAAGTGGTGAAGATTCTGCAGCTGCTATTCTACTCTGTTATAATAGCCGTTGGTTCCGTTGGAAACGCTCTGATCTGCCTCGCAATTCTCAGTCGCAAGAAGAGAAAGACCAGCGAGTATTTCATCCTCAACCTGGCGATAACTGATTTATCCACCAGCATTTTGAGCATTCCTCTTGACATAATAGAGCGATTAGCGGGGTACTGGCCGTACGGATCGTTTTTGTGCAAGTTAGTTTATCCTCTTCAGACCATCCTTATGTCTGTGTCTGTTGCGACACTGCTGGCGATGAGTCTTGAAAGGCACAGAGCGATAATGCACCCGCTAAAGCCCAGGATGAAAGGAAGCAAGCCTATAATTGTGATCTGTGCCATCTGGGTGGGCAGCACTCTTCTTGTCTCTCCTTACATTTACGTACTAGGCTTTGAAGTAGGGAACTGCGTAGAAAATTGGCCAGGCACTGGTTATGTAAAGGCCTACACCATGTCCGTTTTTATCGTACTGTACCTTTGCCCGCTTTGGGGCATAACTATCGCGTACGTGAGAATCGGGAGAAAACTTTACAAAGACATCAAGACTCTCCAAGTCGTAATGGCAGACCCTGAAGGCGGTATGACTGGGAGACAAATGCTTAAAACTCGGGCCCATCGCAATGTCCGCATCGTTAAAATCTTTGTGACGGCAGTGGTTGCGTTTGCAGTGTGCATGCTGCCGAATCACGTGATGTGGCTGTGGAACGATTACGGCAATGGACACAGCTCCAAGTACTTCACTGACCTGCTCGTGTTTACAAATATTCTGGTTTATGCTAACAGCTGCATCAATCCTTTCATATTTGGTACTCTACAGACCCGCTGTACCAGCTGTAAAGATGTCCTGAAAAGTTCTCAAGACAGAGATGATAGCGGCCGCCATCGTAGACTGTTTTCCATGCGCGTGTCCTTTACCAGCTCATCCAAACTAAGGACGTTTGTTCGCGGAACTTTGAGAAGTCCTGGTCTAAGCCAGAGGAGTATTTCAACCCGCAAAGGAACTATCATTTCTACAAGGGCAACGTTGAGAGAATTACAAAGACTTCATGGCAACACTGATGCAGAAAGCAATGTTTGAATTCAAACCGTCTCAAAACATCCACGAGTGCCCAAATTCAAAATATAGAAAAAAAAACAAAACAAAAAAAAAACAAGCAAACAACAAACAAACAAACAAACAAACAAGAAAACCAAAACAATACAATTTTTTTTTTCTGCAAGTATGTTGTACAATGTAAAACCTGTCATTTGAAAGGAGGAATAAATAAACTAGCACTTAATTCACAGACTTAAGACTTTACTACCATTTAAAGCATCTTCAATAAACTGTATCGCACGAACGTGCATTGAAATAGTTTCCATTTGATTAGCTGCATACGTCTGCATACGAGCCCAGTGACCCATCAAGTCGGAGCTTATCCCGGTTTCTGTAGCATGAAGCGATTAGGGGTATTTCTACACCCCCATGGACTGGATGCTAGTCTGTCGCAGGGTTACCCCCAGCATAAAGTTCGTTGGTACCCATTTGTACGCATGGGTGGACAGAGGCACTGTGAGAGTAAAGTGTCCTGCCCAAGAACACAGTACAATGTCCCCGGCCAGGGCTCTAACCCGGACCGCTCGATCCGGAGACGAGCGCGCTAACCATGAGGCTACCGCACGAGCCGTTCAACGGCCTTCATTTAAAAGTTAATTCACAGGCGAATGATTAATTTCAAAAGTAAGGACCACGTCGTACCAAGGAACACTAACACTATTCGGAAAGTTTTTAAGTCGCATAGAATGGGAGATCTCCAACCATTATGCTAGACATTTATGCCATTTTTATTTGCAGGGTCATCAATATGTTTAGTTGTACAATTTCAATGTAACTCTTTTCAGTGGACCTACCGCCCTTCTCCTGTTTCCTCTTTCGTCTAGAGGTCAAATTTCCTCCCCTAAAGAAGTAGGCATCGATTTAAAGCTTTGTTTCCTATGTACCTTCTTACATGTAAATCGGCTTGGATTGCCCTAATGTTTAGAAATTTCGGGTTTGGGAAAGAACAAATTTCGCTATTCCATCTAAAAATGGCCAGTGCTTGTCCTATTAGTAAACATTACCTAAAATTATTTGATATTCTCTCATTTCCCCGACAAAGTGAACTTTAAAACTCTGTTGTGGGACTGACACCTCGTAGGACATCTTCCTTATGGCTCTGTAAATTCCAAGCCGGCCCATCCACCTCCCTTGGACATCGAACGGGCATTTGGCATTTTTTTTTTTTTTCATAAGGTGGCAAATGCCCCACCGTGGTCAGATGGTCCATACAAAAATCCCCGCAGTGCAAGGAGAGCAGTGCAAATGCCCCGCCCATGGGATAGCATGAAAAATATATTTCTCGAAAGTAATATACATCTTTACCACGATATCAAAATGATATTTTATTTTCCACAACTAACATCTCTATGAAGACTTTTCTCTTAATAAGTGCTATAAATTTATTGCTTTTAGGCGTTGTTCTTTGAGCCAACGAACCACAAATTCAAAATCCTTCCCACGAAAATCGTCTATCGTCGTCGACGCTTCTCGACTTGATTTTCTCTCATGTGGAAGACCGAGGGTAACGAGCTATTGTAGTTTCCAGTGGTTTAAATCTCAGAAAAGAATTTACAAATACGTTCTTTAAGTAGGGTTAATCTCTTCGATGGTTAATAAAACAGACTTGTGTTTCTACGAAGTACTGTTGTATAATTCTTTGTTTTGACTAGTTTGCCAAATGCCCCACCCCTGGGCAGCCCTTTGCGAGCAAATGCCCATGGTGGGGACCTACAACCTGCCAAATACCCGTCCCCGATTGGCGGGGGGGGGGAGGGGGAGCAGATGGGCAGGCTTGGAGTTCACAAAGCCATTTCGGACTGAGTAAGCTAAATTCCGTGCTTCTCGGAACATTTCCTTGTAAATATATATTCTTCGGCAATCATAATTAGAACTGACACTTCTTGAAAAGCTCTAAAGTGGGTTGTTGTTCTTCTTTCCTTCCCTCTATACATTGCTTAACTTTTATTGCGAAGCGAAAAACCAGAAATTACTAGCTTTAGACTGAAAATCGTACTTTTTTTTACATTGGCTAAAACGTTTAACTTTTTTTATGCACCCAATGCAGGTGTCTTAAACCACTGACACTACAATACTCCAGGTAGCAACAGAGCAGTACTTGCAGTACTTACTTACTTACTTACTTACTTACTTACTTACTTACTTACTTACTTACTTACTTACTTACTTACTTACTTACCATACTTACAATACGGGTTACTATCATTAGCACTCTAGTACTCTACCTACAACACAATTTTACACTTCCTACAATATAATCAATCAGTAGACAGTGCAGTTCTTACTGACTACAAAATTTTCTATTTAAGCAAAAAAAGCGATAGACCACTCTTTCTATGGGTTTACTGGCGCAATAAACCACGCGGGGTGTTGGGAGAACACGAGAAAAGCTTGTAAATCACGAGCCGTTAGGCGAGGATTTCCAAGTGTTCTCCCAACATCCCAAGTGGTTTCAGTATTGCGCCGGTAAAGCCATAGAAAGAGTGGTCTATCGCTTTTATGAAATAACTATATAAAACGTCTGTCAATGAGAGGAAAATTTATTGTAATTTGCTGATCAAGTTGCTTATTCTCATCAAATTCATGAGATGACCAATCATAGCAACGGAAAGAATGAAAGCACAGGCTCCGCGCCGGACATGAAATCCGTCGAGGAAAGCGACGAAAACATTTCACGCTAAGAACGTTTTAAGAAAGGAAAGGAAAAGGTTATCGGTTAAAGGGAAAAAGTGTATTAATTAACGCAAACGTATTCTGACGGGGAAATGTAGGGATTCGTAGGTGGAATCGGTCATCACGAAAGTAAAAGGCTGTACGAAAAGTGTGCAAGCAGTTCAAACTTCATGTGCTTGGCGAAGTGATTCAACGCAGTGTTAAACGATAACTTTCCAAAGTTTTGCGAAGGAATTAAGGTTAGTAATAGAAAAGCTGCTTCCGAAATTTATTCAGAATTTATTTACATATGCTGAAGGCTATGAAGTCCGTGTTTCTCTGTATCTTGCTAGATGCTTAAAAGCTAAGCTTATGCCGGGAAATTAAATTCATTTATCGTGTTATGCATGGATGCATTGGGTTTAAACTCAAAATGTCTGATAGAAAGAAATCTTTTTCCTGCTTTTT